TGTCTCACAGTGTGACCATATTTTTAACTGGGTGATACCTACTGTTAAATAAGTTCTCTGACATAAGATGTGTGTAAGGCTGAAGGCTCGGCTCACAGGTTGAACAGCTGCCTAGCGTGCCTGAGGCCTGTGCTTTCACAGCCTGGCTGTCTGCCAGGCAGGGCTCACCTGTGGACTGCCAGTGGTAACCGCATGGTGCTGCTGTTCCTCTCTGGGCTGCTCTTGAGGGAAGCCTGGTTCATCTCTGCCTTTAACAGTCAATGTTATGTGGGATGTTTAGGGCACTTCGCAGCTGTGTAGGATGGCATTGTGTAGATCTGATCTGGCTTGTTCCTGGGAAGGTCTTCATGAAAGTTCTGTGTCGTTGAGCACACAGTGGTTTAGTGTATTTCATCTCAAAAGCTTTAAAAGTTTCAAAATCTTGTCAAATTTGTTCTTTTTTTTTTTCTTGTAATAGTTACCCATTTTGCTCTTGTTTTTAAGCTTCTGCTTTTGTTGTTTTATATCCCTTTAACCAAGTTTTTTTCTAAATATACCAGTAGTTCAGGAAGGTTTTTGTTTTTGTTTTCTCCGCTTTGTATGTGCAGAAAGACCTAAGAAAGCTTAATGTTAAGTCCAGAGACGTAGTTTCGGGACAGACAGACAGAGTGCTTGCTTGGTGTACACAGCCCCAGGCCCACGCCCAGTGTGCGTGCGCACGTGCGGGGCACCCCCCCCCCCCCCCGCCACAGGTTTAATATCTCCTTAAACTTGAGAAAGCTACTCTTGTGTTTTCCTCAACCGTGTGCTGGATCCCCACCCCAGCTCTGCTGCTCTGTGTGAGTGCATCTGCCACGAGTGTTGCAAGTTTTGGCTTAGAAGTTTTCTGAACCGTTCATTGTCTTGTGAATGCTGGCAGGACACACCAGGTGAAAGAGCACACAGCCACCTAGGAGTGTGACATTTCTCACAGGCCAGTCTGTCTTCAGGAGGTCTGGCCTTAGGCATTTCTTGACTTTTTGAGCTGAGAAGGTTTTCTTTTTCTTTTATTTATAAGATTCTTCAAGGGGCTGGGAGCATGAACACTTGCCTCAAAACCCTTAAGACTTTGGGTTCAGTCCTCTGTGCCCTGCCCCAAAGAAACAGGTTAAGTAAAATAATATAAAATTTATTTAATAAATTTACTTAATGCAATGTTAAGTGAAATAATACTTCTGTGTAGTGTTGAAATTTGTTGTATGATTATGGTGCAGACACTGTAATATCCCATGTCGACACCATCTCCTAGTATCTGCTTGGACCAGAGTATTTTGGATTTCAGATTTTCTTGTTTTTGGAATATTTGCATATATGTACTGATTGTTATGATGAAGGAACCCAGTTCTAAATGCAGAATTTACCTAAATATATACCTTTATACATGCAGTCTGAAAGTGAGTCCATGTGCCTTTTTCAGTGGCCCTGCATTTGGATCACACATGAGGTCCAGCATGGACTTTCCACTTGTCATAATCAACATCTAAAATGTGGGTTCTATAGTGTTCAGGATTTTTTTTTCGAATTCTGTTGTTTAACCTTTAGTAAGATTTTACAAATGTTAATTATTGAACATTGTTTTGCACCTTCTATTCTAATACTACTTATTTATTATTTTTCCTTGATAATGGCTTCTCTCTGTGTGCATGGGGTGGGGTGCTGTCCTACATGCATGCAAAGGCCTTGTGTCCTGTTGTCTGCTCTCACCTCACTCCTGAAGACAAGATCACTCTCACAGAACGTGGAGCAAGGCTGGACCCAGCACACCCAGTGACCCTGCTGCCCCGCTCCCCACAGGACTGCACTGACGTGCGCATGCGGCCATGCGGCCATGCGCAGGCTTCTCTCCTTTCTCTAATACGGTGCTAAGGTTTGGGGTGCAGGTCTTCTGGCTTGCGTGGCTAGTGTTCTTGCCACTGAGCTGTCTTCATGGCTCAACTGTTCTTTATTTAATAACTAGAACAGTGTGGAATGTGTCAGACACAGCAGGACAGGGTCCATCCTATGATTGCGTAATAATGCAGATAAGCTAGCAATAAACAGACAAACTACCTATCCTGTTTTTAAATCAGTAAGTGTAGAGGATTTACTTTGATATTGATGTTGTGGGTAGTTAAACGAGGTAATGTTTTTATTTAAATTTGTGTCTGGTTTTTAAGACATTGCTACCCAAACTAAACATGTGTCAAAGTTTTAATCCTTAGTCTTGACAGAAAAATGAATCACCTGTTTCGGCATAAAATAAAGTTAAAACTGTGCTGGAGGGAAAAGTGCCTTGTGCTGTAAAGTGAGGACGGAAGCTTACACTTTATTTACATTTGGAAGGCTTTTGCTTTGTGATGTTTTTCCATTGCCACTTCAAAGCTTTGCACCATCAGTTGTCTTCAGCAAGGTTAGCCCAAAGTGCTTTCTTTAGGTCGCTTTTACACATCAGCCTCCTCTTGCTGGAGACTGTTTTGGTGACTGTGGTATCATGTTGTTCTGTTGTGAAAACACAACCAGAATTCAGTCCTAAACAGCGTGCCTTTCTGTGGTGTTGCATGGGTTAACGTTCACTGTTGGGTGGGGGATCCTTTTAAGCACAATGGATGCCCCAGTCAGAGCTTTGTGAGCTGCAGCTCTTCAGCTGTCTCTCTCTGTTCAGTTTGTTGCCACCTCCAAGACTGGGGAAAGAAGCTTATTGTGTGACAGTTGTGGTTCAGCTAGAAAGCTGCTGATATGGTTCCCTTTTCCTGGTGCCGTTGTTACAGCTGTTTGCCGGTTCAGTCCATGAGTTAAATTCCATGCGCTTCTGTTCTCTTTCATTGAAGAGTTTTAGGAGTTAACTTTCAGGTCAGGAAATACTTGTGGCCCAAACAACAATAAAGTGACCAGTTAGACCTTCCTTGTAGAAACTGGACTTGCACAGTCAAATTAGAGTAGCCCCTTATTATGCAGTTCAGGGATCATCCAAAATAGAAATGCAGAAACATAGGCCTGTTGTAGTACTTTTGATAGCAGAGCAAGTAGACAGTTACTGTGAGCCCTTAGTAGGTCACTAGTGTGAAAGCCTTAGGCAGAGAGAGACTGTACTTTGTAGATCTTATATAAATGCAGTAAAGCAACCTGTACTCTTTTCTTCTGATTTCTTTCACAGAACACTGGGTTCTTGCAACTCAGCCGTGTTGCATGTACTCACTTAATCGTTTCTTTCTGTTGTTGAACATTACTCCATGTTATGGGAGTGCCCCAGTTCACCTAATCACTGTTGGTTGAGATTTGAGTTCTTTCTACTTTGAAGCTATCACAAGCAAATCAACGCCTGACTCTAACTAAGCCAGCCTGACTCTGAGCATTCCTGTGTAAGTCTGTGTGCATGTAGGTTTTCATTCCTCTAGGAGTAGAGTAGTTGGATTACAGGTTAATTGTATAAAATGTAAAGAAACTGACAAACTTTTCCATTTTCCATTTCCACAAACTGTGCAAGAGAAGTTTAGTCACTGTGCATCTTCACCAGTGGTGGGCTCAGAATGTTAGATTAATGTAGGTTTTCCTGATAACTAGACATGTATGATTTGTTTTTTCATGTGCTTATTTAGCCTCTCTGTATATTCTTTGGTAAAATATTTATTGTGTCTTTTGCTCACTTCCTGTAGGATCATTAACATCTTACTAAAGTATTTATATGTTCTGTAATCAAGCTCTTTACATGTTTGCCTTTCATTTGCATAAGGTAGGTGAAGGGGGGAGAGGGAGGGAGAGACAGAGAAAGTGGTTGGTTGCTGGGAATCAAGTCCAGACCTCACACCTGCTAGGAGTTGAGCTCAGAGCAGATGAGATGCAATGGAGGCAGGAAATAGATGTAGTTGTCACATCACATTTGTTTCTGCACTAGGTGTCGTATTTTAGATAATTTTACATCACTAAAATTACAGAGTTTCAGTTTGCTTGAGTATTGCTCTGGATGTGTACATGAGAATGAATTCCACAAATGAAGCCGAAAGCCTCAGGAAAGGAAACAACTTAATTTATAAATCCTTGTAACAGCTTGGGCATTCTTCAAGAAACAGTCACAGGTGTATTGTTACTTGTTGAAATGTGCTCCTGGGAGTCCACGGGGAGGCTTGGTGGTTAGTTTGTGGGGCACTTACAGAAGACGGGGGTTCAGTTCCCAGCATCCACATCAGGCAGCTTACAGTGCCTATGACTCCTGCTGCAGGGGGCCCAGAGTCATCTTCTGCCCCCTCGACCCCAAGGAGTTGGTGTACACACACACACACACACACACACACACACACACACACACACACACAC